AGATATTTCAGTCATTTATCAGAGCTATAAACAAAAATGGATTCTTGGACAGAAATGAATTAAAATAAAATTTTGATTTTTTGATTGTTTTAAGAGACAAAATATGTACAAATGACAAAGGCAATTTCATCATGCTCTAGAGTCAAAACTGCTCTGGATCAACGTAGCAAAGGCTGGTTAGAAGAAGATTTGTGTTTGGCAATTCATATGGAGAGGGGCTGAGTACCGTGAAGTTAGTTCGATCGTCCGACACTGCGATGACTACGACAAAGCCAAAAACAGGAGATTCGGGTACTTGGTCAGCCTCACCAGCCTGTGATACAGCTAAAAGTCGATGCTTTAGGTCTCGACTAACTGGCACCTGGATCGGATTTCGCCATGTTTCTTCTTCACGTTCTCCGTGAGGGAGGAGAGCATCAGGAATCGCCTCGCTGCCAACTTTGTAGATAGTGTACTGAAAATTTTAGATGTGTAAAGAGGAGTAAATTGCGTAATCAGTTGAATCCAACCCAATTTCAAACTGATTGCCTTGACAAGAGCAATAAAAAAGGTTTATTGGAGCAAGGCGAGCTATTTTAAAGTATGCACAAATTTCTTTTAAATTGTGTGATGGAGCCCAGGAATAATTATTGAAAACGCAGAGAATTTTAAAGATAAGAAATTCAAAGATGACTTGGAAAGTGAGTTCACGTAGTCATATTAATATAGAAAATATTTTTTGGCCGACTTCCAAATCAACCTTGATAATTTTTGCTCCTTGCCCTATCTTAGTCGACTGAATCAAATATAAAGTCAATACAATATAAGGATATTATAAAAAAGTGAAGCTTAATGGCCTACTGGCATTCATGGAAATGAGGCGTAGTAGTAATTTAACGAAATCATACGCTACATTATCCTGTTATAATTCAAGATCTACGAGTAGCATGAGAAAATAATTAATATAAATTGTTGTGATAAGTTTCGTTTCGCGTAAAAGTGAAGCAAAGCTAGACCTTATTATAACAAAGACGTGAAGTTTACAAATGAGAATAGAATATATATATATTGCTTTGAATAGTACCTCTTAATCGTAATCTCGACAACTGAGTGTACGTGTACTTTAAAGTACGAAGCCACCAATCATACATATATGAGTAATTACAACAGAGTGCAGTTTCAGATGATGGTCATAAAGTCTTAAAGATTCAAGTAAAAGCAGAAATGAGATTACTTAATCTAGAAAGCATCCCCCTTGAATTGATGGGTTTGTGTAAACTCAGCCCATCAGTGCAAGGTCATCGATTTTCCCTGAGCATACAGAACCGTCTTACTAAATGATTTGGCATGGACTTGTCTAGATGAACTTCCGCGGAGCAATAGCTTCTGTCCTCGCCTCTCCAATAACCAAAGAGTGCCTCAGTTTACACTGGTATTCTCCACCACTCCAACTTGCCCATCCAGTCTTTCCTACTTCGCAGCACATCTCTTTGTAACATCCAATCGTGGCGCATCTGCCGAGTGGCCGTACTACATAATATATCGCTGCGGCTTCCAGGTTCCAATAATTCCTCATCTGCTCGTTACCCTCCCTTAATCTCACACGCATAATATGTATCTATATTAGTTCCATTTAAACTTACTCCTCCTCTATAATGCCCCACCATTGTGTGCCAGAGCTTCAATAGCTTCCTGAACCGGAATGCTGGCAAACATGGATATCAAAGGTCATTAATAAATCTTCATTCTAAGTCATCTGTAGGAGAACCAATTTTAAAATTGTGTAGAAGTTTTTAACCAAATATAGTTAATATTCAAAACTTTCCATAACTGTTTGCATATGAAAGCTGCATTTG